GTCCAGCCTGCCCTGCGGGTGGGCTGGGGTGTCAGGAGGAGCGTCCAGCCTGGCCTGAGGTGGGCTTGACACAGAGGGTGTGTCCACCTGGCCGGCAGGTGGAGAACCAGGAGCTCAAGCAGCGTGTCCTCTCGGAGCCCGTGGCTTACTCAGACAAGTTCGGCCAGGCCAGCAGGGACTTCTGTGAGGCGCTGCTGGAGAAGGACCCGGAGAAGCGCCTGGGCTGGAGAGACGGCTCCTGCGACGGGCTGCGGGCCCACGCCCTTTTCAAAGACATCAGCTGGAGGCAGCTAGAGGCCGGTACTGTTGGGCACCTTGGGCCTGAGGGACTGCCTGGCCCTTGCATCCTTGCCCTGTCCAGTGGTGGGACCCCAGCCCCTCTTGCCCAGCCATGCCACCCAGCCCTCTGTCCATCCCCAGCATGCCAGGCCTGGGCACTGCAGTGGGCGTGTGGCCCTGAGTTCAGCTGAGCTTGGTGTCCACTCTGTGGCTCTGAAGGCCAGAGCCATGGGAGGCAGGGTCCTCTCACTGTGTGGAGAGGTGAGGTCTTGACCTGGCTGTCCTCAACTGTGTGTCCCTGTGTCCTCACCGTGTCTTCAAGCATGATGTGCACACTTGTGAGTCTGTGTGTGTGCTCCTGGGTGTGTCTATGCGTGTGTGTGTCTGGGAGGGACGTGGAAGGCCCCGCTGTCCCTCCAGGAGCCTGGTGGAAGACCTGGATCATCACCATACAACTGTGCCTAGGACTGAGCCGGGGCCAGGGGCCAGCTCAGCCTCCTGGGGGGAAGCTGTCCCGGGAAGGGTCAGGCAGGGGAGTGGGCTCTGCGGGGGAGAGCCGTCAGGACACAGGCCCCAGGAAGGACGCGGGTCCCGGGAGCCCCAGGACTGTGTTGTGCCAGACCAGGCTGAGTCGGGGTGTCCAGCGCAGCTGGTGGGGAAGGAGCACACAGAGGCCTTGGAGGGGCAGCAGCTGGCCGCCAGCCTGCACCCGCGTGTCTGTGTGAAGGCGGGGGCTAGGGGGCACCAAGGACCTGGTGCACCGAGGGAGGGTCTGGGGGTCTGCACACATGGGGCTCGTCAGGGACTGGCATCCTGCATCTGCTGGCTCCTGGGCATGTGAGCAGAGGCCATCTTGGGAGGGAGGATCGGCGGGGTCAGTCAAGTCCACCTGGGCACGAGCCAGGGCCTCTGGGCCACAGGGAGGTCGAGGGAGCTGCCGAGGGCTGAGATCCCCAGGGGCCAGGGCAGGAGGGCTGGGGAGCGCGGGGCGAGGGCTGGTGGCTCATGGTACACTGCCCAGCCCGGCTTCAGGCGTCCAGCTGTCCTCGCAGCACAGAGCACTGGACCCCAGGCCGGGATCTGAGAGACGCTGCTTTTCTCCTTGGCTGCTGGAGGCCCATGCTCTGTCCTCCTCACCTGTGCCTCCTCTCACCTGCCCTCCTCACCTGGGCCTCCTCTCACCTGGCCTCCTAACCTGGGCCTCCTCTCACCTGTCCTCCTAACCTGGGCCTCCTCTCACCTGCCCTCCTAACCTGGGCCTCCTCTCACCTGCCCTCCTAA